TCCACCATCTCTGTGTACTGGGGTTGAAAGTGTGCTCCTCCACCATCTCTGTGTACTGGGGTTGAAAGTGTGCTCCTCCACCATCTCTGTGTACTAGGGTTGAAGGTGTGCTCCTCCACCATCTCTGTGTACTAGGGTTGAAGGTATGTTCCTCCACCATCTCTGTGTACTGGGGTTGAAAGTGTGCTCCTCCACCATCTCTGTGTACTGGGGTTGAAGGTGTGTTCCTCCACCATCTCTGTGTACTAGGGTTGAAGATGTGCTCCTCCACAATATCTGTGTACTGGGATTGAAGGTGTGCTCCTCCACCATCTCTGTGTACTGTGGTTGAAGATGTGCTCTTCCACCATCTCTGTGTACTAGGGTTGAAGGTATGCTCCTCCACCATCTCTGTGTACTGATATTGAAGGTGTGTTCCTCCACCATCTCTGTGTACTGGGGTTGAAGGTGTGCTCCTCCACCATCTCTGTGTACTGGGGTTGAAGGTGTGCTCCTCCATCATCTCTGTGTACTAGGGTTGAAGGTGTGTTCCTCCACCATCTCTGTGTCCTGGGTTGAAGGTGTGCTCCTCCACCATCTCTGTGTACTAGGGTTGAAGGTGTGCTCCTCCACAATATCTGTGTACTGGGATTGAAGGTATGCTCCTCCACCATCTCTGTGTACTGGGGTTGAAGGTGTGCTCCTCCACCATCTCTGTGTACTGCGGTTGAAGGTGTGCTCCTCCACCATCTCCTGTGAACTAGGGTTGAAGGTGTGTTCCTCCACCATCTCTGTGTACTGGGGTTGAAGGTATGCTCCTCCACCATCTCTGTGTACTGGGGTTGAAGGTGTGTTCCTCCACCATCTCTGTGTACTAGGGTTGAAGGTGTGCTCCTCCACAATATCTGTGTACTGGGATTGAAGGTATGCTCCTCCACCATCTCTTTGTACTGCGGTTGAATATGTGCTCCTCCACCATCTCTGTGTACTGGGGTTGAAGGTGTGATCCTCCATCATCTCTGTGTACTGGGGTTGAAGGTGTGCTCCTCCACCATCTCTGTCTACTGGGGTAGAAGTTGTCCTCCTCCACCATCTCTGTGTACTGGGGTTGAAGGTGTGTTCCTCCACCATCTCTGTGTACTAGGGTTGAAGGTGTGTTCCTGCACCATCTCTGTGTACTGATATTGAAGATGTGTTCCTCCACCATCTCCTGTGAACTGGGGTTGAAGGTGTTCTCCTCCACCATCTCTGTGTACTGGGGTTGAAGGTGTGATCCTCCACCATCTCTGTGTCCTGGGTTGAAGGTGTGCTCCTCCACCATCTCCTGTGAACTGGGCTTGAAGGTGTGCTCCTCCACCATCTCTGTGAACTGAGGTTGAAGGTGTGTTCCTCCACCATCTCTGTGTACTAGGGTTGAAGTTGTGTTCCTCCACCATCTCTGTGTACTGGGGTTGAAGGTGTGCTCCTCCACCATCTCTGTGTACTGGGGTTAAATGTGTGCTCCACCACTGCCCGGCTGTCCTTCCCTCTTCCAAACAGTCTTCTGTCACTCGGGTGTCTGCTGTGACCATTTTAAGGAAAATATTGTTATTTTTCTCCAGTCTCAGGAATGGCTTACTTCTAGTCCTCAAATACTTCAGATCATTGTAATTTCATCTTTGTTTCCAGATGACCTAACGTGCCTGGATAACACTCTTGGTAGAAGTCCAAACAAACGACATAAATAATAAAGTACATTTTGGTGTGGTGACTAATCCACTCTAGGAACTCTGTTCCACTGCTCCCTCTCAAGTGGTGGTTCCAGAGGACACAGTTTTGGTCATTGACAATTAACAGAAGTATTATTATGCTTCCCTACCCAAAAACAACATACTAGGCTGGCCTGTCTCCTTTACCCTATACCCCACCTTACTTCCTTTTCCTCTTTTTGGCTTTGTAGCATCATGACAGAACATGTGAACAGCCATGTTGCAACCATGAGGTTAGAAAAACAGGACAAAGCAAAACATGCTTTATATGGAAGAACAGAAACAGAAAGCATCCAGCCTTCTCCAAATGGCACAGCACCTGCCCTGGGTGGTCTGGCTGTCCCCAGACTTCTGGATTATGGGAACACACACACATGCATACACACACATACACACAGAGACACATACACACACATGCATACACACACACATACACACAGAGACACATACACACACACACATACACACAGAGACACATACACACACATGCACACACGTGCACACACACACATGCATACACACATACACACACACACACACACACACACACACAAATGCACACACTCAAATTCATCTCCTGTGGTTATATTTTCTGCTATCTGCCCTCCATGACAAGTATGCTCTCAGTAAATACTCATTTAAAGCACCTACTATTTGTTGCATAACAGTTCCCTGAAACGTTCCATCCTGCAGGGAAGCTCCTTAAGCAGGAAGGTAAACAACTCTAAGTAGCTTCAGGAAGTCCCTGAAACTGGCCGGATTCACCAGGGCTCTCCCTGCCACAGTAAGCAATACAGCTTCAAAGGATTCTGAGACCAGACCATCTGCCTGGAAGAGGTTCAGACCAACTGAGGCACCTGGGAAGGACACTCTCCAACCTGTTGAGCTGTCTGCAGGCTGTGCAGTGAGTCCAGGCTCCTGGCTTTTGTGAGCTGTCACCTGTGCTGGGTGGGCCTTGGAGATGCAGCTGGCTTTGAGTCATTTCTGCTGCTGTAAGCAACCCCTCACTCATATTCCTGTAAGTAGCCCCAATAAATGTTTTGGTTCAGCAAGTTGGACTATGGTGGGAACCATGCTTTGGTCTGTTGTGGGCTCCCTGTCTGGGGTGAGTGTGTGAGTGTGTGAGTGTGTGAGTGTGTGTGTGTGTGTGTGTGTGTGTGTGTGTGTGTGTGTGTGTGTGTGTTGCGTGTGTCATCTCCCCAGTAGAGTTTTGTCACACAGTGTTGTTGCTTTCAGTAGCGTGCGCATCCACCCATTCCACGCTCTCTTCTTCATGCCAATGCTGACTCAAATGAATCTTGAACAAAAGAATGAATGAATCTTTTTTTTTTTTTTAACAAAATGACATCTTCTAAGAAATACAGCTATCTGTTAATTTAGAGATGCCTGCAGTAACCTTCCAGCAGCTGTTTCAGACCCTGTGACAACCTGCATTGGTCCTGGAGATTATTCCCATGGATCGCTTTGTCCTGTTAGAAAAACCGGTTCTGTTGAAGCTGCAGATCCGCAGCAAATGGAAGACAGTGCAGCCTGGCTGTCCTGTTTCAGAGCACTCTTCTCCAGAGGGCAGGGCTGGCAGCTGGGTGCCCTGCGCCCTTGATAAACCTCCGTGTTTTCCTCCAGGCTGTCCAGGCTGCTGCAGGGCAAGCTCAGCCTCATCGAAGCAGAGAAAGGCACCCTTCCCAGGAACAGCTCAGACACTTCACCTGGGGTTGCTGGGTCTAAAAGCCCCAGCTCCAAGAGGGAATCTGATTTCAAATGGGAGCGAGGAGACCTAAGCCTTCTCAGACTGGATGGTGAGGCAACTCTCTGGGACCCAGTCCCTGTCTGCACCGAAAATCCCTGAGACTTAATTTTCCTTTAAAAAGAAAAACACCTTTGCTGCAAGCTTGAATGTCTCTTAGGAAGGATGTCAGAGCCTATTTTGGCTGTATATTTCCTGTGCTCATTTTCAAAATAGCATGGTGGCTTCGTATCATCTTGAAAGTGAACGCTGTCAGCTTGGCTGGCCTGAGCAAGGTGGCTTCGCATGCCGCCTCTCACATGACCCAGCCCTGCCTATGCCAGGTACTCTCCTGCTTCTGCTGTCCCTTGGGAAGCACAGGAGCTCAACAAAGTTAAGAGTTTGTCCAGGGTCACAAAACGCCTTGCACCCAGAGCCCTGGACGGACCTTGGAAGTGGCAGTACATCCCCCTGCTGTTCTTGCTACCCACCTGACAGGCTTGGCCGTCAGGCTCCTGCCCCAAAGGTGGTGTGTACAGCAGCAGCCTCGGATACTTACGCTGAGGGGTATGTTCCGGCTTGTGTCTTCTGGGTCAAAGGCCTCCACCTGGTAAATGAATCCAGGATTTGTTCTTTCTACTACACAGAGGTTTAAACCTGTTCCGAGTCAAAAGGGAATCAGAGTGTCTCGTCAGATAGGGAACTCCAACCCCAAGCCATCCAGACACTACAGCTAAAGGGAACCAGCAAGGCATGCTGGCATCATGGGACAGAGAGAGCAGCCATGATAAGACCCAAGGAAAGACCGCCTGGGCCAAGCTGTTCATAAAGATCACTATGATGCCAGGTGTCATGCCTCAGTCACCTCCTCCACTGGGAGGTGACTCTGGACTGTCATTAGCTGGAAAGAGGACCAGATGAGAGGGAGCCAGATGAGAGGGAAGATGGAAGCCACCCTAGTGCCTCCAGTGTGACGCCAGTCACATCCAGATCCATCTTCTTATGTTAAAGTGACCCTGTGAGACATGCATAGACTTTCAGCAGAAGGGAGTGGAGGTGAGGACACAGAGAGGGGTGGGGGAGGGACAGGACTAAAGAGTGCTTTGAGAGGCTTGCTAAGTCTGAGAGGCCTTTTAGCTGGCCAGGAGACATTGGGCAAAACAGATGGAGTTAGGGAGAGCCCAAGAGGAACAACAGACTCGGGGCTCTCATTGCACAGAGTACACACAGCCATGAGCTGGGCGAGATCTGGTGGGAAATGCCCCTAGGTTCCATCTTCTTTATTTTTATTGTTTTTTAAAGTTTATTTATTATCAATATCTGTGTGTGTGAATGCACATGTGCACATGTGTGCATGATGTGCATGGGTGTGCATGCCATGGTGTGTGTGTAAAGAAGGAGAATAACCGTGTGGCTCAGCTCTCTCCTTCCCTTTGATGTATGTGCTGGGGGTTGAACTCAGGTTGCCAGGCTTGCATAGTAGGAGGTCTTACCTGCTGAACCATCCCTTCACCCCTTGTTTGTACTTTCTGTGATGCTGAGGATTGAACCCACGGTGCTGTGCCTGTTACGCAAGCATTCTGCCACCAAGCCACACCCCAGACCCCATCCTTAGGTCATCCCCACTGGCCAGGCAGAGTCCGTGAGGGAGAGCAAGACAGCTGGACAGCGGCTGCAGAATAAGGTGGCAAGGCTATGGTGGGCCGAGCCCAGGTTCCCCTACATTTCCCACTTGGATTCAGCGTTCTTCCCAGGACTGAGAGGGACAGAGAGAAGCACAGATGCAAGGCTCTAAAGCTGCTGGGTGTCAGGACAGGACGTGCCAAGGAAGACATTCCATTTCCCCTGCTGGTTAAGCAGCTGCCTTTTCTGAGGAAGCAGCTGCTTCTTCATTTTCTTTTTCTGTTTGGCTCTGTCCCGCAGGGTCCTCTAGGATGTGCTGTCTGGGTATGTCTCACCTTGTGCCAAGTTGCCTTGAAACTGAGGCGGCTCGTTCACATCTGTCACCTGAACAGTTAGGACCTGCACGTCTGTGACACCAACATCATCTTTAACATAAATCTGCAAATCAAATACTTTTGGTCCTGTTTCAAAATCCAGTTGCTCCTTCCCAGTGGTGACAACCTAAAACAGAATGCAAGATTCTCAGCAGTGCACACGAAAGGCCAGCTTTGTATGCAAGCACTTCGCAAGGGCGCATCCTGCCTCCTGGTGACCATTCTACACTCACTGTCAGAGGCAGCTCCTCTTCTGCCTTAGTCCTTCCAACATAAGCCCGACCCCAGGACACTTCTCAGAAGGCACTCCTGTGGGTGATGGATGCTGCTTTTCATAGAAAAAAGCAAAACTACTCCAGAGACATTCTGGTGTGTTCACTGGAGATGGAAAGCCACAGAATTGAATACCTACCACACTTAGCACCAGACACCTGGACAGGTACCTTAGCTACCCTGGACACAGCTCCTACAAGCCCAGGCACATTTCTGTGGGTTAGTTATTCCCTAAAATGCTTGTGTTGAAATGGAATGACCAGTGTTCCATCACTGGCTGATGTGAGCTAACCAGTAAGAGGCGGTGGATGGTGAGCAAACCATTCTCCTGAGCGAATCAGTGCTTCAATCTGGAGAGTGGGCTGCCACAGAGCCAAGCCAGCTTCCCAGGGCTTCCTCCTTTAATGGTCTCACCCTCGTCCTTGTCCCCTCACCGCGGTGTGTTGGCCACGCTCTTCTGCAGCTAGAGGGCCCTGGCCAGGTACCAGCACCTTGACTTTGGACACCCAGCCTCCAGAACAGGAAAAATCACTTTCCTTTCTTCATGTTTCCCAGCCTACAGCGTGCTGTTACAGGAGTAGACGTCAGAGTGAACAGACATCCAGGGTTAATCTCCTTCTCTCCTGTCCCTTCCTCCCTGTCTTCCTCTCCGTCTTCTTTTGTATTAGTGAGGACTGAGCCCAGAACCTCACAATACTAGGCTGATACTCTACCCCTGGACTCTACCCCTAGCTGAAACATTGTATTTCTTCTAGAACTTTGGCTGCTAATGCCAGGACACTTAACATCACCTGATGAAAGCACTTGGCTCTGGGCCGTTACTCTGCTGAACTTCCATGTGACCCCAGGGGAGTAGCTGTTCCCCTGCCTTTGTTGCCACGTGGCTACAACTCAGTGAGCCAGCCCTGGGCTAGGTGAGCTGCTGACACTTTGTAACAGAGGTGAGGGTCAGGAGGGAGGAGAGTTTGCTGTAAGCTATCTCTATTTAGAGAGGGCTGCATGGAGGGCTGCATGGAGGAGGTGGCAGTTATCAGGTTTGCTCTTGCAAGATCTAGACTGGTTACAAGAAGAGACGGTAGCCACAGGTGCGAATGTGCACAGTGGAGGAGGGCAGGGTGGAGGGTGGTCTGGCGTCTGCAGAGAGCCTGTCTGTCTGTGTATACGCCCCATAGCCACTTATCCAGAGCTGGGCTGTCTGCGCTGTCTATGGACGGTGAGGCAGACTAGCACATTGTGGGGCGTTTACCCACCACCCCCACAGCTTCCCAGAGTTTTCTTGAGTGTGAGCAGCAGGAAATATTAGATAGAAGGATTTATAGCGGAGAATGTTGCGGAGATAAACAGATAGAAAATAAAGGATAGCCTCGAGAGGGCCTGGAACCTATTCCAACTGGCCCCC